AAAAACCTGCCATCCTCAATAATCGATTGACACCTCCTGTAAATCGATTATCTCCCCTCCCAGAAAATCCCTAGAAAATTACCCCAGAAACTGAAGCCCCTGATAGTCGATTATCCACTTTGGGAAATCGATTATTGCTTCCCTGTCCTTAACAAGATAATTCCTTCAAAAACCTGAGCTTGGGTATAACATTTGGTATCAAAGCTAAGTGTTGAACATCCCCAAGGGCCACTCACCATCACTACCTTTCCTCTTCCCTAGAAACCCCCAAAGCCAAACTAAACTACCTTCCTTACCTTTTCCCACTCCAACCATGTCGAATGAATCCCGAACTATGTCCCATGAAGAGCTCATTGCCTCAAATACAGCCTTGAAAGCACAAGTGGAGTACTTGGCTAAAGAGGTAGCCAAGCTTACGAAGATGAAACTCAACGAGCTCCAGGGAAGTGACCGTGAAGAAGACGTTAGTTCTAGTGGAACCATGAAGCCTAAAGCCACTGAAGGTTCTGACTTCAAAGTTGATATTCCAACTTTTGAAGGGAAGAACGACCCGGACGAGTTCCTCGAGTGGCTAGAAACAGTGGAACGCGTCTTTGACTTCAAAGATGTTTCTGATGAAAAGAAGGTCAAGATAGTGGCCTTAAAGTTCCGGAAGTATGCATCAACTTGGTGGACTAATACGTGCACCAAGAGGAGAAGAAATGACAAAGAACCGGTGTCCACGTGGGCAAAAATGAGGTCCCTTCTAAAAATGAAGTTTTTACCTGCCGAATATGTTCGTGAGAATTTTGCTAAGCTTCAAACGCTTAGGCAAGGTTCTAAGTCTGTTGAAGAATACAACCGGGAGTTTGAAGAGCTCTTGTTGAGATGTGACTTGCAAGAAGATGACGAACAAACCTTTGTTCGTTACCTATTTGGCTTAAACCTGCAAATAGCCAACACGATGGAGTTGCAAAGTTATGACTCTCTTGAAGAACTCACAAAGTTGGCCCTCAAAGTTGAAGCTCAACATAAGAAATCAAAAGCCCTTTACTCCAAAAATACTACCCCTTTCCCACGACCCTTCTCCTCGACATCCAAACCACCTTACCCCTCACCAAAATTACCTTACACAACCCCCAAAAACCCCACTACTTCCCATGGCACAAACCCCTCCTCCTCCTCCCCATCTACCTCAAGAAACCCCTCCTCCTCTTTCACACCCCGGGCTGATCCCACCAAGAAAGCACCTGTTTGCTTTCGGTGCCAAGGACGGGGTCATTATGCCAATGAATGTCCTAACAAGAAGGTGATGGCCATTGTCGAGTGTGATGAAGAAGACTTTGACCCAACTTGGGTTGAAGAAGAAGTTGAAGAGGTCGAAGAACTAGACGAGTTTGTTGGCCCCGATGAAGGAGAACTCTTGGTCATCCGAAGGACCTTAAGTGCTATAACCTGCCCCGAAGAACAAGTGCAGCGTGAAAACATCTTTCACACACGTTGTACGGTCCAAAAGAAGGTGTGTTCGCTTATCATTGATAGTGGAAGTTGCACCAATGTGGCGTCCAAAACCATGATCGACAAGCTGCGTTTGAAGACCTCTCCACATCCTAAGCCTTACACGATTCAATGGTTGAATCATGGCAAGGGCTTACGTGTTGATACCCAAAGTCTCATCTCTTTGAGTATCGGCAAATCATACAAGGACGACGTATGGTGCGATATCATCCCTATGGATGCATGCCACATACTTTTGGGACGCCCGTGGCTCTTTGATCACCGTGTGCAACATGATGGCTACACCAACACTTATTCGTTCTTGATGAATAAAAGGAAGATCACCTTGACACCTCTCCCTCCCCCCACTTCACCTACGGCCAAACAGCCACAAGAACCCCCTCCCGTCCTTATCTCCACCATCCTACAAGCTGAGCAACATGAATTCCATGAAGTTAAAGACCTCATTCTCCTTGAAGATGGAGAAGCCGAGCCCACTGTCCGCC